GATAAAATACTAATACATTTTTAAAAGAATGAAAATGAACATTAATTCTTAAAGCATTTAAATTAAAAAACGAAAAATGTCAGGCTGTGGTATATACTTAGTCTCTCCTTCTGGGAGAAGGGCCTGGGGAAGGGTGGGCAGCACTGTTTCGTACCTGCTTTTCTGTGCCATGACCTGCTGAGGTAATCTAATTGTTGGGGACTGCAGCTTCATTGGATTTTGATAATTTTCCAGATGTGGGAAAACGTGCAAACTTAGTCAGTGCCCTGGTGGCCACCATTATCTTGTCCCGTGCCACCACTGCCTGCACAACAGTGTCGTAAATAGCCGCTTCCCAGGGTCTTAGTGGGGGATCCTGGGCTCCAGGAAGAGTGAGTGAAGACCGCTTGGTTTCCACTCCCTCGAAGGAACAGTGGGGCCAAAACACTGCTCTCTTCTCTCCACCTGCCCCTCCCACCCCTTGATGAAGGTTACCCATTGTCTAAGTTGGTCACAGGATCTATTCTTCAGCTGTGATTTTGTATGTAACACAAAGCTAGTTAGAAGCTTGATATTTGGGGACAAATCCGATTCTGGCTACAAATAACATGGTCACAAAGCTTTGCAGTGTGTGTGCCAGTGAATTAACAACGTAAAGACAACAAGTCTGTCACCGGAGGATTGCCTTTGAAGGCCAATGGCTCAGTGACTTTAAAAAGGCCCTTGCCTGCACATTTCCTCCTGCTCCCTGCCTTTGGCAAAGTCCTATTAATTTTGTTGAAGGTTTTATTTTCTGCTGAAAATGCAGGAAATTTAGACAACTCTCTTGGAATCCCCCCAAAACTAATACAAACAAGATACATATGCTCCTCCTAAGGAAACTAAAAATAAATGATTTGAAACTATTTAACTGTATAAATTCCCTCTTAAAAGGAAAAGGAAGTTTATAGAATGAAAGGCATCTCTGAGTGCTGTTAACTAGGTAAAATATTCCCATAACTGCCAACTTGTCTATTAGATATTAAATTACTACTTAACATAGAATTTGTTGGGCTTTCATTCCCAACATGTTCAAATAAAACATGAAATGGGAATCTTTTTTTTTACATTGAAATGTAAAATGAAGTAAGTATGCACCCACCTTTTTTTTTTTTAATCTAGGCCTTATTCCTGTCACAGAAGCCATATGTTCTAAAAAGAAAAGACCATGAGTACAATAGATGAGGTAACACATATCTTGTTATCTCTCCATATTTTGTTGCTCTGTCAATGAGATTTTTATCTCTGACAAAGCTAATTTTGACAGCTCAGAGAATACATGGTTAACTTTTAAAAGCATATAATTTTTATAAAACCTTATTTTATTCTGTAAGGCTGTTTTCTGCATAGGGTTTTCTAGAAGACTGGTTTTATAAATAAAAATTGTGACTCAAATTTAAGACTTAGAAATGTGACTTCCGAGTTTTGGGCATTTATGGTAACTATATTAGTGGATCAACTTTAGAAAGACATTTATCTTTTTTGTTCTTTTTGTAATAATGTCTAAAGTTACAGTAATTTTTCCATTTTAAAGTACTTTAATAATATTTTTGTTTTTATTTTGGAGCATATTCACATGGTGCTTACCTAGTGTTACACACTGCTTTAAGGGTTTTTACAAATACAGCCTCATTTAAGTTTCTTGGAAAAAAAATTGAGGGCTGGGGTTGTGGTCAGTGGTAGAGCACTCACTCACCTAGCATGTTCGAGGCCATGGGTTTAAACCTCAGCACCACATAAAAATAAATAAAATAAAGGTATTGTGTCCAGCTACAATAAAAAATATTTTTAAAAAAATATTAAATGGGGGCTGGTACGTAGCTAGCAGTAGAGTTCATGCTTAGCATGTGCAAAGCCCTCCATTCAATCCCCAGGCACCAAAAGGGGGAAAAAATGTTAAATACCATTTGAAGTGTTGGCACCCAAATAATGATTAAATTGGACAACTCTTTAGGTCTATTTAAATGTTGAAATTTGGATGAATTTGTAGTTTTTCTAAAAACTCTCTAATCAATTTGTTCTAGTTTTTTTATCATTTTAAAAGTGGTCATTATTGCCCAATAATGCTTTTTTAAAATGAAACATAAAAGATATGGTTAACTGGCATATCTAGTAGTGACCTGCACCAGAATCTAGTCATAGTAGCAACTTAGACTCAAATAACTTACAAATTATATTTATTTTGATAATTTTTCTTGGAAATTAAAATTAGCCAAAATGTTGATTATCTTATTTTTGGTACACATAGTTTACCCCTTTGGCCCATGATTATTTCACAATCTCCTTGATATCTTAAAGCTACAAATGATCTTCCAACAGAAATGGAAGGACCACAGAGCATGGTTTCTAGGAACAACTTGCACTGTAGGAACTCTAGCTGTTTCTTAAAGATAATTAAAGTAGGGCTGGGGATGTGGCTCAAGCGGTAGCGCGCTCGCCTGGCATGTGTGCGGCCCGGGTTCGATTCTCAGCACCACATACAAACAAAGATGTTGCGTCCGCCGAAAACTAAAAAAAATAAATATTAAAAAAAAAAGATAATTAAAGTAGTGGTTAACACTTTATTTCTTAAGGATAATTAAAGTAGTGGTTGTTATTTAAAAATGAAAATGAATTTGTTGCAATATTATATGTTCTGTGTTCAAGGATAAGCTGGTATACTTGAAATGAACATTATAGAAGGAAAGAGACTCTAGCTCTAAAGGAAGTAGCTTTAGTGTCTAGTGTTGAGTATGTTTTGTGATGTTATGATTCTTTGACCAAATTCTAAACTTTCTAACCCAGAATTAAACTAAAGAATTACTAAATTGAATGAAATGATACATGTAGCAATTTTTGTTACTATATTTAGAACATAATAAAACTAATCAATGTAGATAGCTGACTTCAAGTAATCTCATTTAATTTCTCAAGGAATCGTTCCTTTGAGAGTAGTTGTGAAAATCACTGTAATTGACATCCAGCTGTTGCAAGTTGGTGGGGCTGCTCGGGTTGTGTACAGCCCCATCTAATAGAACTAACAGTGTCTACTAGTTGTTAAATATTTAGAATTTCACCCCTGGGTATATCCAGGAAGGAAACTGACCCTATCTCATAAAAAGGATAGTTGTGCTGAGGTCTGGAAAGTCTTTGTGTTGAAATTTTAATAACCTAAATTATAAGTTTACATGTTAAAATAGATTTTGACAGAAAATGTAACCAGCTCCTCTTTAAGTTTAACTTAGTGTTCTTAATTGTGTATAATTTTTCATTTTTGTTACCCTGTTTCACAGCGTGAAAATATAGAAGTGCCTTTTATCATGACAATACAGCTAAATTTAATATTATATAAAATATCGTTGCTACATCTTCCCACATTACATTTTCAATTTGAATAACATTAGAAACTATATGTTCTTGTCATTCAATTTACATATCTGTAGCTGAATATAGTCTATAAAAGGTAGCATTAGAACTTAACGTTAGAGAAACAACATAAAATAAGTTAAATAAGATATCTAGAAATGCCTTTAAATATAAAAGGGGTTAATATAATTCTTAAAGAGCCTTCAGTCAGATTGATGCAAAGTAAAAATTAATGCAGAGCATTGCATATTGATCTAAAGTTTTCAGTTTATACTTTCCTGACTTAGGAATGAAATAAATGGTCAATATTTTAGCTTAGGTTTAAATGAGCAGGTCCTGTTTGAGGGTTGTGTATGTTTTCCTTTTTACTTCAGCAAATTATTTAATTAAATATTGAGAATAAATGATGTGTTTGAAAGTAGAAATTGTAACCCATCAACAGATAATCCTGTAAACATAAATTTAATATATTAGACTTAACATAAATGAGTATATGAAATATTTATTAACATAAAATTCTACAGGAAGCTAGTATTTTGGCCAACTTTTGTTTCTGAAGTAGTCATACTATCCCACTGAGTTGCTTTTAAATGACCTGAGAGAAAATTCTGAAACTCCATATCTTCTCCTCCACTAGTCATTCGAGCACTAGGTGAGATGAAAATACAATTAAGAGAACTTACAGTTTAGATTATGTTGTCAGTTTCAAATTTGAAGCCTGATCTCCTCCCCTTTGCAATAAAAACATACCAATAATAGATGAATCATAATAAGGAAACATTTAAAATACATAGCCACACCTAAAAATGACAGGGATGTTTCTTGATGAACCCAAAACAGAAAAAGCACTCAAAGCAGGGAGCTGAGTGCTCCAGAGAACCTGCTGAGCCTTGGGCCTGGCAGGCAGCAGGAGTGGTTGGGAGCTCAGCCTACTCCTGCAAGCAAGAGTTCTGGAGATCTCCAAGGTACCAGGACTACACTGGGCCACTTTCCTGCTGGAAGCTGGGAGCTGGACTAGATCTTTCACTAAAAAACTTGCTCATTGCTTACCTTGAGTTTTGATGCTGGCAAATCATTTTATATTCAGATTCCCAAAGACTGCTAACTCTAAGAAACAGTGACAAAACCACAGGCTATTTATCTGTAAATATAATGGTTGAAATGACAGTACAGAAAACTGAGGTTACTTTCTGATTTAGGAACTTTTCTGGGAAACAGTAAGACCCCCCTTTACTAATTTACATTGTGAAAGTCTAATGATTTAGGATAAGATTGCAAATGAGGATCTGTTGAAGCTGAGTAAGCTCTAAATTGGTGACTCTATCATTTATTCATATTTATTATATGAGATTCCTAATTATCACCATAATAAGATCAAACAGTTTTAATTCAAATCCTTTAGTAACTGCTAAAACTAATTCTAGCATTCTGTTGTCATATATATCTACCTAGAGAAATTAAATTAATTTTTAAAAAGAAAAAAAAATTCTAAAGACTCTTGATAGAAATAACCGTGAACAGCTCTCCTACAAGATCTTTTTAATGCTGCTCTAGTTTTAAATAATTACTTGAATTTTGATTACTTCTATAGCAAGGAGGAAACCACTGACTCTGTGTTGGGGTTTACTTTCTCATAGGCACAGGACCTCAATGTCATTGAAGAAGTGATTCGAATGATGTTGGAGATCATCAATTCCTGCCTGACAAATTCTCTCCACCACAACCCAAACTTGGTGTATGCACTGCTTTACAAACGCGATCTCTTTGAACAGTTTCGAACTCATCCTTCATTTCAGGATATAATGCAAAATATTGATCTGGTAAGTTGTAAATGAAGGTATTTATTATTTTTTTAAGTACTAAAGCAGAAAAGCTGTAATTTGACAAACCTTGCTGTGAACTGTCTACAACAGTGAGTCCTTTCCTTAAACTATATAGCCTATGGTGTATAAGAATTATTATTGCTTTGCATCCTAGTTTTAATGGTTTTGCCAATTTTGTAATGGCATCTCAGTATGGTTTCAATTTGTAATTCCTTGATTATAATTTTATGTAACAATTGTTGCATTCCTGTGTGTGCATATGTGTGTGTATGTATTAAACACACACATTAATAGAATTGAGATCAGACCTAAACAATTCTCTGTTCTGTTCTACTTAACATTTAGATCATGAACATTTTTCTGTGGTATCATCAGTTCTTTGAACCGTACACTTTAGTACCTATCTGCATTGTAGATACCTAAAATATATTAACCATTATCACATTGTTGCCACTTTTGATTATTTTCAGTGTTTTATCAATTCATGGTTAATGAACTGTTTATAAATAAATCTTAGCTCACATTTTCAAATTATATTTTTAGTGTTATAACTGGAATTTTACTGGTTTTGCCATCAGAGATTATGTATATCTTCAAGATTCAACATAGGCTGCTAGATTGCTTTCCAGAAACATTGTACAATTTATGCATCTGTATATCATTATATATTTCAATAAGTGACCTGTGAGAGGATCTGTCTCACTACACTTTTGCAGCTTGGAGCATTAAAATTATTTTAATGTTTGTCTTTTTTATAGCAAACTGGTATTTCATCATTTTTATTTTTATTTCTCTAATTACTAGTATGATTGAACATTTTTTACAGGTCTATGAACTTTTGCTTCCTGTCCTTTCCAAAAAGATTTTGGTTAAATTTTCTATTGCTATTTGTTTTCTGATCAAATTTGGTTCCATAAATATTTTTTGAATGACTAATATGATTCATGGCATTAGATACTAAAGTTTACTAAAGAGCCACACCCTGTTTTGTGTTACTTACATCTAGGAAATTATTTGATAATAAAACTGTCACACAAGCAAATATTATAATTTCAATAATAGCTAAGCATAAGTATATGCCTTTCGATAGAGTGTCTATGCAATAATGGAATTGTTATATGACCTGTCTCATAACCCTAAAGGTTTTACCCTGGAGTATATGTTAATCAACTTTGCAGTCGCTGTAACCAAAATACCTGACAAGAACAACTTAGGGGAGGGAAAGTTTATTTTGGTTCATAGTTTCAGAGATTGCTTTGGTCCCAAGGTAAGATAGAATGTCATAGGAGAAAGGTGTGGTGGAGGAGTGCTGCATCACAAATGACAGCCAGGAAGCAGAGAGAGGGAAGTCGGAGAAGGGACCCAGTTCCTCCCGCCATGCCCCACCTGCCTACAGTTACCACCCAGTCCATTTACACTAGGATGGACTGATGAGGTTACAGCTCTCACCATCCATTTCACTTCTGAATATTCTGCTTTAACACAGGGGCTTTGGGGGGAACATCTCATATCCAAACCGTACCAGAGTACTACCATTTTACATTCCAGGCTACAGTGTATAAGAATTCCTGTTGCTTAACATCCTAGCTTTAATAGTTTTGCCAATTTTGTAAAGGCATCTCATTACAGTTTTAGTTTGTAGTTCCTTTTTTATTGAGAATGAGTATGTTTCATAGGTTTAGTGTTCATTTGGATTTTCTGTTTTGTAAAGTGCCTATGCAAATCTTTTACCAGTTTTTCTATTGAAGTATTTATGTTTCTTATTAATATTACATTTTATTACTATTATTCCATTATGCTCTAGATTTTTGGTGTCTAGCAATCACTAACACAGCTACAGAGTCTTCTAACAAATGTCTTCTCTCAAAATGATAAAAGAGATCAGGGGACATTCTGCTCCATATTTCCTTGGGGATCTGATTCTTGCTGCACACAGTGTGCGCTGGTTCTCCTGCACAGCTACAGTGGCTTCCTGGGAATTTCCCTCACTGTTTTCCTTTGGTCAAACCTAGTTCCTGTGTCTTCCTCTTTCTTGGTTTATGATTTCATGTTTGTAGACAGTGTATTATCATATACTACATTAACTTTTTGGAAAAGGATGATTTGATGTTGATTTTTTTAAAGTTGATACATAATTGTACATATATGTAGGGTATAATGTGATATTTCAATAAATGTATATAATGTGTAATGATTAGATATGGGTAATTTACATCCTCATCACCTCAGAACATTTATCATTTCTTTGTTGAGAACGTTCAAAGTTCTTTCTTCTAGGTAGTTAGTATTTATTTATTTATTGTATTTTATTTTTTGGATACTGGGAATCGAAGCCAGGGGCACTTAGCCAGGGAGCCACATCTCCAACCCTGTTTTATATTTTATTTAGAGATGGAGTTTCACTGAGTTGCTTAGGACCTCACTAAGTTGCTAAGGCTGGCCAAAGATTTTTTAAAAATGTTTTAGCCTTCCTGCTTGAAAATGTTTTTCTTCTTCCTTTATGTATGATCTATTCTCTTGAAGCTTTTCCACTTCTTGATCTTGTGTTCTCAGGTGATTTCATGATTTGCTGAACCTTGGTTAACTGTATTAGGCACTTGGAGGAGGAGACTGAACTCTAGACTGGGTAGACGGTGGCTTATAGTTAAATAATTAATGTTAATTGTATGCTTTGGTAAAAGATGAGAATGCAGAAACACCAGGGATGGGCAAAACAGTCCCTGCTCTGATCTTGACTTACAAAGAAACTGTCCAGAAAGAAGGCAGAGCGAGCCTTCATCCCTTACTAACAGCTGATCCTAACAGCAGTCATGGATTATAATGTTGAGCAGAAGTTGTTTTTTTTGGGTTTTTTTTGTGTGTGTGTGTGAAGGCAACTTTATAGACTATTTATTTACTTTATGTCTAAAAAAGCTACTTTGTACCACTGTAGATTCATTTCTATTTCTTTCTTTTTTTAACATTTATTTATTTGTTTGTTTATTTATTTTTATTAATGTGGTGCTGAGGATTGAACTCAGGGCCTCACACATGCAAGATGAGCACTCTATCACTGAGTCCCAGCCCCAGCCCCTCATTTCTGTTTCTTGCTCGTACTATTTTTAGAAGTAAAACACTTGTTTAATATTCATGATACCTCAGAATAAAAGTTTAACAAATTTCTTCCTTATACACGAGAAATTGTCCTTGAGTTAAGCTGTTCCTCACTCAGTTCATTAGAAAACTAATGAAGGTGGATGTCAGCTGCGTCACCAGTGTCCCTGCTATGGTAAAATGATAATATGATAAAATGATATTTGATGGGTAAGCTGAGTCTGCACTGAGAGGAACTATAAATACCTGATAGGAAGCAATAGCTTTGGGCTGCTCTGAGCAAGAGAACTCTTATAACCAGGCATGTTCTTTTCAGGAACCCAGAAGCTAAGACTTTCTTTTTTTTTTTTTTAAAGAAATCTTTTTTTTTTTTTTTTTTGGAATTTTAATATTTATTTATTTATTTTTAGTTTTCTGCTGATACAACATCTTTGTTTGTATGTGGTGCTGAGGATCGAACCTGGGCCAGGCGAGTGTGTTACCGCTTGAGCCACATCCCCAGCCCAAAGCTGTTGTTTTCAATTTGAGACATGGTTTCCAAGCTAGGGTGCCTGCTGCATCCACCCATAGCAGTCTCATTCTCTTGATCTGAACTGTCATTGAGGGGCCAAATTTCAGTCCCAAAACTATTGTAAGGATTTTCAGGGAAAACAAAAATCTGTGGCTATGCTATTAGCATGCTTTTTTTTCCTGACCTTTTATCCTTTTAAATTAACTTGATGTCAAGCATGGCCTTTTATGGTCTCAACATTCTTGATATGTAATTGACCTAAGAATATCACCCAGGCATAGGCATTGCAGTGGTAAAATAGTATGTTCTTATATTTATTTGTACATGTGTCACTTTCAAGCTCTAGGGTAGAGCTTATTTCTGATTTTCCAAGATTTATCCAGATCTTTACGTCATAAAAATATTTAATATATCCTTCTTATGGTTTGGATATGAATTATCCCTGAAAAGTTCCTGTGTTATTACAAGGATGTTCAGAGGTAAAGTGACTGGATTGTGAGAGCTCTAACCCAATTAGTGCATCATAGCTTGAATGGTAACAGAACAGGTGGCTGGAGGAAGTGGGTCACAGGGGGCATGCCCTGGAAAGGGTTGTTCTTTTCTGTAACACCTTCCCCACTTTCTTCTTTTCTTTAGGGTACCAGGGATTGAACTCAGGGGCACTTTACCTCTGAGCCACATCCCTGCCCCTTCTTATATTTTATTTTGAAATAGCCTCGCTAAGTTGCTTAGGGCCTCACTAAGTTGGTGAGGCTAGCTTTGAACTTGCAATCCTCCTGCCTCAGTCTCCTGAGCTTCTGGTAATACAGGCTTGTGCCACTGTGTCCAGCCTTTCTCCACTTTCCCTCTGCTTCCTGGCTAGTCATGAGGGGAGCAGCTTTCCTCTCCTGGACCATCCACCATGACGTCCTGCCTCACCTTGGGCCTAGAGCACTATACTCAGCCCACCTTTGATACTATGAGCCCAAATAAACTTCCTCCTCTAAATTGTTCTCATTGAGTATTTTGGTCACAGCAATAAAATGCTGACTAACACAATCCTTTTCAACCTTTGTGTTTCTAATCTTTGTTGTCCTATTCATTTGAATCTGTCTTAATGACAGTCCTCTGTTACATCTATATCCTAACTTATGCCTTTCTCTGGCACTCTGATTTCAGTTTCTTTTTCCATACCTTCTTTTTTGTTTTGTCTTTTTTTAAGGACAGGCACCTGAACTATGTACTGATATATGCCTGATAATGTACACCAGTTATATTCGGGGGTAATGCTCTCTAATTAATTCCAAAGGACTTTCACTGGGATTGCCAATGTTTTCTTTGTGTTTCTCAAAAGACTAACCCAGAGTTCTCTGACCCTCTCCCATGGTCATGGATGCCATAGGTGATAGATTAT